TGCCGTGGCGCTCGCTGCCACTGCAGGTGCTGCAACGGCAGCTTGGGCCCCAATGGGGTTTGCTGCGGAGCTCTGAAAGACAAGGGCCAGTGGTTCTTCGGCCAACCCGAGTTTGTCAGCAAAGAAATCGCAAAAGAACCGATATTGCTCATGAGGGCGTTGCGCCCACGCCTCTTTGTTCTCAGCCACCTGAACGTGGCGGTCAGAGTGTACCTGGAGTACTTCCAGGAAGTTTGCTTGCTGCAGGTGTGCGCAAATCACAGGGCTCATGCGCTGCGTTGCGAGAATCATATTGGTTTGTATCGTCTTTAGGGTTTCTGCGATTTGAACGACTTTATCAAAGTATTTGTAAAATTCGGGTATGGTCGTGGGCTTTGGGAGCCGTTCAAACTCACAGTACAACTGCAATCGATGATTGTCAGTTTTGCCATACTCGTTGAAGAGCACGCAAATGACGCTGAGATAATCCATATGGATATCTTGATGCGCAAATGCCCCAATGTTACGGTGAGCAGCGCCGTCCAGGTGTACCAGTAAAATATGTATGCGTTCTGCATCCGTGAGCTGGTCTGCCGGAATGAGATGAACTGGTGTGAAATCATGCCACAGACGCTCAAAAGGGTATTCTGATGCGATTTTGCCATCAAACTTTGGAAAAGTGGCATGGCCCGCTTGCTTTTCTTACGACTTAACAAGGTCATGATGCGCGTATTGGGAGGGTTGACCAGTCCCAAAACTCGCACGCGCTTGTTGATAAGCGTCAAGAGACCGCGGAGGCAAAAATAAGACCGAGGACGGTGCCGAGTCCAAAGGGACGTAGCTGGACGGTCCAGGCAGATTCAGAATAGAGGATGCCTGCAGCCGCACGGCAATCACAGGACCGGCCGGTTGTTGTGGGGATGCCGATGAGGCTGCTGGCAGGCCAAGTGGCCCGCCTACACGCGCTACGCCCCATGGTGGAGCCACAGATGGCCCTGGTGCGCTGGGCGCGATGGGCGCTGGAAAAGGCACAGGTTCCCCTGGCGCAACGGGGAATGCAACCCCTAGTACATGCGGCTGGGTAGGGCGGAGATTGACCCATGCCCCCTGCATTACATCCAGCAAATAGACCAGTATGTTGTTTACCTGGTCGGCCAGCATCCGAACGGATGCAACTTCTACTTCAGAAAAATGTCCATCTGGGATGTTAAGCAGGTGTGCGGCGGCTTCAAGGAAGCGCGGCACGTACTCTTCGAAATGGACCTGTGGGTCCCCGCAGTCGGGGGTCCATAAAATATGGTCAACGGCCCCGATGGCGTTCGCGACGTGCAAGACGTACTTAATGAGCATAGGGCGCGGAGCCGTCGTTGCCGAGGAATGGCTGGGTGATGCAACAGAGCCCGAGCTACGCGGCACAGTGGGCTGAGCCCACTGTGGTACACCTGGGAGTGGCGCATGCTGTGTCCTACTCAAAGACCATGAGTGGTCACTTACTTGGCTGCTAACACTCGACGGACTCTTAGAAACCCGATGCCCCTGCCCCCTGAGAGGAGGACCAAATCACCGCAGAGGCCTGCGCGTAGCGCGCAGCCTGCTGGAAATGGGTGAAGGATTCACCAAACTCATGACCGCGCTACGGTGGGTGAGTACTGTTCGTTTGTTTCGTTTTTGGGGGGGTTTTCCGCAAATTCAACAAGGAGTAAGGCCCGATTTCACGCGTAGGCATAAGCAAGAGCACTCAGAACTCCATACAAGGAGGAAAAAATGCCGAGGTTCGTACCGCTTCTTGGTAGACCCGCTGGCCACCAATTTTGTCGGATGGTAATGACAAAGACCTTATCGAAATAAGTGTAAACCGTTCGCAGCCTTTAGGAGGCAGGATCCTCCTGAAGGGAGTCCCTTAAGCACTCGTTTATTGCAGTGCACACACAACACCCAGAAACTGAACCAAGATCCAAGCCTTACAAATATCTCAATCATACACACAAGTCACACACAAGACAAGTCCTCAGGAAGGAAATCAGCAGATTCGCTAGCAACCGTACATACACAAGGCAACTCGCAGAGTGACGGCTTCAGAGCCTCACAGAATTTGATATTCCTAATTGTGATTGTAATCTTCTCACCCGGTTCCGCCAGGTGGTAACCGGGTGCCATTCAGGACCTTGGTTCCGGTGGCGCGTCGTAACTTTTGCATATGTGGAGCCCGAGCGAGGATGCTACGCTGGGGTCTCCCCACGCACTCTCTCAACCCCACACTGGAAATAAGATAAAATTGCCTCATCATCTGGAGAGATGCAATTGAACTCCTCTTACATCTCCTGGTTCCTCAAATCCAGGTTTTAGTGAATTTTGTCTGCTCAAGAAATATAATTTGTTTAATCATTGGAAAAGGTAAAATGTTGACAAAAAATTAACTTCATGCCAAGCGGACTCCTGAAGCCACAGAAACAAAAAGAAATTGCGAAGAAAGATTTCCTTCTAAATCATGTCCTCTTTTCAGAAAATATTTCAAGATCATAAAATTTAAGGTAAAATGGCAGATGAAAATAAGCTTGCTCAAAAAGGTATGAAACAGCTTTCCTTCTGAACTGTGTATTTTTTCAATCATTATTTTAAAAGTACAGTATTTTTCACCCTGAATGTGGTAACTATTTTCACCTATACTTTAAAAAAAAAATATATATATATATACGAATTTGGTTGATCAGATGATGGAGAACAAAAAATATAAAATTAGTCACAAAGACTTGCATTCTGTTGTCCTTTCAAGAAATATTTCCATTCCGATGGTTCTGAAATTTCAAAAATTATGCTGCTCAGCATGTCTATAAATACAAACATAGATTTTTTTAAAGAAAAACGGTATCTATAGGTTGTGAGCAGAAACTTCACCATAGTACTTACGTAAGTTACCCTCGCGAAAAGCACGAGGTTGTTTGATAGGAATAAAAAAAATCAGAACTGTGATCGAAAAGACTTGAAATGTGACTATGACACGGTTTTCTGTGTGCTGTATAGGGAATACATACTGTACAGCAGCGTGATGATGCATTTAATGGAACATGAAGCCTTCCTTTTGAGGCTTGTCAGTCAGATTTTTGATCACTGCGGGACCGGATTGTTATACCTATACATCCCCCTCATCTATCGAATTGAACCGTCGGCGACGAAATGTCCACTTTCCGCAATGCTTGGAGATTCGCTGTATTTATCAATATCTTGAGTTCTCTTGCAAATTGTTATCAAGAACCACCCACATACACGAAGGCATGTTTCTCTTGCGAAAGTTGAATTTTGCTTGAAAATAATGTGCAGCAATGTGTTTGAATCAGATCGAAGTATTAAAACAACTGCTGGAGTCGTACGACAATATCCCGGAATCCATCTTCGACGACATTCGACCCCCAGGAAATTCTTCCAGCTCATCATGTCTACAGTATCCAACACTTCATGACATTCACATGAGCAACAAAATGTATCAAGTGAGACGGTCAACATTTTATGGTTATTTTTATCAAGTTTAGAAAGTGAGATTCAGCATTATTGAAATAGGTTTCTGAAACTAGATTTGGCACGGTTTTAATAAAAACGTGCCATTTGGATGACAGAGAACCAACTGGAACTGTGGTAAGATGTGTGACTATCGTTGAAGTTGAGCCAGCATTCCATACAAAACATTTTGCTAAAATACCATTCCAACCGTTCTACACAACCTTCAACGAAGTGATGGGCCTACAAGCCATTTTCTGGGACACGAAATCAAGGGATTTGAAAGGAAGATCAACGATGAAAAGCATAATGACGTTTGTTTCTCTGCCAATTTTTCAAGACACTGCGATAGTTTTCTCATTTCCACTGCCCGGAGGGTAAGTATAACTTCCGCATACACATACAGTGATGATTGGAATCTTAAAACATCTCATAGAAACATTGTGATACGTTCTAAAAAAAATTTCAAGATAGTTGGCTTGTAGTTCTTACAAGGAAAACAAGCCTCATCAAATAAAATTATTTGACGCGGCTCGAGGAATTTAAAGCATGAAACTTACCGTTCCTGCGGCAATTTTTCATGCTCAGTACGTTGATCTGAACCTATCGAAGTATGAAACAATTGCGGGTAAGCAAAATTCTCCCTGGTTTAACAGAATTTTGCATAATAAAATTCCAGCCGTCAAATTTTTGAATATACACCATATTGAAATATTTTTCCTGAAAGAGCTCTGTGACTCGCTCTCGTTTTCTCCTCTGTACCACTCTAATAATTTAGTTCCACGGCGAATAAAATTGTTTAAATCCTTTGGGCTAAATATACGGTTGCCTAACACCTATTCTGTCATTTCATTTATGCTTCAACGGTTTGGATTGCAGCATCAATAAGGAAAATCTGGCAATTTCATTGGTTGACGGAAATCACGAATGCGAAACGGTTACTAATTTTCTTCGCGCAAAGCTACCTGCGGAACCCGCGCAACCAGGAAATAAAAAAGGAGTTGTTCTTTGCATGAAAAACGTTTACCAAGCTTTTCAAGACAACTCAATCATTTTTGCGGAGTGGATCGAAATCCAAAAGGCAATGGGGGCGGAGCATCTCGTTATTCCCATCTTGGGAGAATTTCAGCACCCTAATGTCTCCAAAACGCTCAAGTAATACCCAAGTGAATCAGATATTGGATTGAGAAAAAATACTGTCACTCGTTCGGTGGATTTATTTCTCACCCCTCTCAAGGTTTTACGAGAAGGACGGATTCGTGACCACGAAAAGGTCATGCATGTACGGACGGCGATCATTTCCAACAGCTGTGATTCGCTTAAGTTACCCTGCAACGCGCTTCTTTTCCGCTGTTCACAACATTCAATTTGATTTAGAAAAAATGAACCTGAATTCCTGCGTGATGGATTCCATCAGAAAGTAAGCTTGACATTTTTTTAGAGGATTTTATCTCCTTCCTAGCGATTACCGTGTTTACCCCTCTGAATAAAATTGCAAAACCTTTTTAAAAATCATTGAAAAATGGAAAATGCATGTTGCTCAATGTGGGGTGCCAGCACCAGAAGATTTAGGTAAGAGTTGAATCTCAAGGATTACTCGAACTTCCCTGTGTAAGTCAAATACTTACCTATATAAGTCGAATTCTTTTGAACCACCTGTCCGAATTTCCTAAAAAAATAGATTGAAAGCCTCTTTAACTCAAATTATTTCTTTTTCAAACCTTCATCACTTGAATTCTCTAGAGGACTTATGGCTGATATTTCATCGACACAAGAAAGATAAAAGCAATAAAATGTAATTTGATGCATTTCAGAAGGAAATGAAAGACTGATGGAGCAAATAAACCCTTGCCATCCAACTTCAGCATCCTGTCATCATCTCATTATTTAAAAAGCAGTTTAATGCCCAGAATATCACAAATAACAATTTTCTGTAACTCTTCTTTCTTTACCCCAAAACATGCTTGTTTCCCTGACTCGAATTTTTTTCGCTGGTTCCTTGAAGTTTGACTGCAAGAGGTTTGACTGTATTGCAAACATATACTGACATACTGAATGCTTCATTTTGCCATTCATGAAAATAATTTATTCATACGGAATACTTGACTGAGCTGTTCAATCGGCCTTAAAGATTTTAATTTATTTTATTACTTATTCTGTAGAGACCACAAATTATTAGTCGATGCCAACATGAAGTTTTTCTAAAGGTCACTAAAATTTCAGCTGCAATTCAAATTAGGAGTGGATCGTTTTGTTAGTTTTATTTTGTCCGAACAAATCTTTGCGGATCTGTATAAAATTGACGTGCGTTAACTGAAAGGCAACGTATAGCAGTTGAAAATTCCTGTCAACGTTTTTTATTTTCGTTCGATTCAGAAATGACAGAACTAAAAAAAAGAAAAAAACTGTTGGTCATGATCTCTCCCTGACGTCACTTTGCAGGTATGAGTTCGTATTTCCAGTCGACCATGACGAGTTCTATTCGATAAACCTCCCGGAACTATTGACTTGGCAAGAACTTCAGCAGAAATCATTTCTGAAATCCAGTCCAACGACGTCAGCGTGTTTCCCGGAGTTTCAAATGATACGAACGAATGAAGCCGTCAATTTTGCCCGCGAACATAAACTCAGCAAGGTTTGCTTTTCAGGCGTGATTTCTGAAAATGCCCTTTCAGTATCCCAAACCCATCTGTTTTTTTCTATGGCGGAACCTAATGTATAGGACTGCTTTGTACGATGATAACATGGACATCCGATGAACTGTGCACAAAATGTCATTCAATGAGCATATCTCACTTCATACCTTTTAAATTTATCAAGCAAGTGTACTTACCCTGCCTACTGAAATTCTAGGTTCTGCAGAAATATCCATCTTACTATTTCCGGAGATTTATGACTTTTAATCTGCTGAATACATTTTTTTATTAATGTAGTATTTAATGCTGTACAGTACATTCTATAATCCTCTAAACCTTTTTGAGCCCACGGACCAGCAAATTTCCATAAGAGTTTTTACAGACCAGCAAATTCCTGAAAAGTTTTCTGTGCACTGACAAAGTTATAAAACATTTTGCAGACTCAAAACAGTTTTGCTCAAAAGACAGGTATTTAAAAAGTGTGCGCTTTTTGCAAAAAAAAACAAGAACGAATGAAGCAGTTGATAAGGAGGTTGATAAGAAGGTAAAATGAAAGTAATGTATTTCAGCAGGTGAAAGCTTGTTATACTGTATGAGAAAAGCCAACTTTTATTTTTCCATTCATAACTGTAACTGTCATTGTCTTTCTGAATTTCAGATAGAGATAACAGTCTTCATTGTTACTTTTGATAAAAATACTATGCTGAAGAAAACTTTCCTGTGAGGAAAAAAATTCTCCGAACTTGGATTGGGCCGCGGATCATGGTTTGTTGGGGAACACGAATAACTGGTGTATATGGTTTCTTGAATGATTTAATTTGTCTGATTTAAAATTTACTTTCAAGCATGGAAATTTTACCATTTTATGATATTTGACTATCAATCATCAGGGGGAAGACTTCATCAAACTTCATCCCGGCCATTAGCCATTATGGTTGGAGTTCTATTGAATATGTGGTGTGAAATGAGTGCGATGATTGATCACTGAGTGAGTTGTTCACATTAGGTACTAGACGGGATTCCGGGGTACTTATATTTCATGAGCCACATCCACGCGACTGAAGATACCGATTCCAAAGGTAAACTTCCTCACCGAAGAAAATGCATCCACGACCTCAACTCTGTCATCACGCTGGAGTATCATGGCGGGAGGTCTTGCTTATTTCCGGAAGACGGAAGCTACCGACCCTGCACCACGAGGATTATAAACGGGAACGTGATGCAATCATTTCACTACAGGTCCAAGTGCACGAGCACTTCTGGAGATTTGGGCATCCTGTTCTTTCCTTGCGACTTGACCCGTGCCAAATACGACTCGCTTGCCATCAGGAACAACGTATGGAAATACTTGCCTGTCGTGAAATCCCGAATGGAACATTTCCTGAATGAGCTGAAGTTGTTTTGAGGTCGGGGTTTAAATTTACTGTACTGTACATGTACAGGATATTTCATGTTAATGAAGTGCAATTATTGTAGCTTATTCTTTGAGCTTCGATATTGAACTCGCTTGCATATAACGCAGCGTTCTAAATATTCACTCAGTGTGGATGTCAAGGGAAAACCTAGGGGATTAATAAATTATACCTCGACTTACTCGTGACGGAAAATTATATTTGTAAACATGTAAATGCTTCATGTACCGCATTCTCTTTATGTAGAATTGCTGTTGTTTTCAACGTGTCGCGATTTGAACAGCAGACTGGGCCAACTTTTTGCGCCTATTTACAACGCAACCTCGATTGAGTTCAGTTCTGAGACTTTTCCTCCTCTGCAGCTGGAACAGCAAGTAAAAGCCCTTCGAACAGTTGAGTTAAATGCATTTTTTGAGTTTCTCAGTTCAGTTTAACAACATTTTATTATTGAGAATTTCGAATTGAAAAACTTACTGCCGCAAGACTTTTCACATCAGGTCATCATGATGCTTCGCGGGATTTAGTCAAGCATTCAACATACATTACTACTGTATACATACACAAGTTGGACTGGATATTTTCAAAGAAGTAACATTTTTCATACAAAGCGGGAGGTGTACAACCAATATTTTTCTGAGAATTGAAGTTATTCGTGACGGAAAACGTGTTCCACGCCCTGTCCCCCTCTGGCCATTACAATATCTTTAAAAATTCAAAATTACACGTATTTTTATATATTTTGTGTGGTAAATACAATTTTCTTGATGATGGCACGTTGGCATTGCGAAGACAGCGGGTTTGTTGTTTTTGAGTGCTTATCTTGCTACTTCTCATTAAAAAGGGACATTTTTATTTTTAATCTTCGCATTATTTTGTCTGTCAGAATAATATGCCTGAAAGTCTTGAAGTATAATAAAGAATAAGGTCTTTAAAATATTCTCATTTTTTATTCCTTAAACACAGAAAATAACACTTACTAGCATTATAAACAAGGTAAACCCTTGTAACACACTCAAGAACGCCGAAAATGTATTTCGTCAACATGAGACTACGATGAGAGTATGTTTGCTGAGAGCAAATTCGCTAAAAGCAGGACGTTCGACATTTAAAAAGAAAATTCACACATTGTAATTTCTTGAGCAAAGCACGATGTAAAAAAAAATCAGTGGAATACAAGCCCTGTTTTCATTTGCTGAAAACTAGAATAACAATATACAGTACTTTGCATGACTGGAGTCCATTGTTAGCATTTCGACCTTTAGGAACAATTGAACAAATTATCCTCTCAATCACTTTACATGAATAACTGTACTGATATGCTTGTAAGAGGAGTTGGATATAGATTCATGAAAAATGAATTTGATAGGAGGCTGATTTATTTTTAAATCCATGTTCTTTGTTGACACGCGAGAAAAGAGCGATAAAATTATATTCCTATTTTTCCAATTTAAATTACGATGCATAGCTAAGTTTTCGGAGAGGACAGCGTGCTTCTCTATACGATGACTAAGGACACGTGGACTTGACAGAAAACTTGTACAGTTTCCATATAGTCCCAGGGTCATGCTGAAGAAAGCCATGAGTCATATTGTGCATATTCCTTGGATGATGACAAATAATTTTTGGCTGGGAAGTGGACTGCTTTTCTCCACGGGAAACTACGTGCGTTGAGGTCATCTTGCCATGAACAGGTTTAATCATAAAAATTCGGGCAAAGCTCTAGAAAATTTACATCTTACGAGTGTTACTGCATGAATGCAAATCTAAGTACTGTAGTGTCTCATACTTTTCGGCAATATGGAATTCATGAATCCAGATAACATGTAAGGAATAAGGACTAGGCTTGGTGACGTGAACGCATTTCTCAAGATTTCTTCTGTTACAAGGGTATAGTTTTCTTCCTTGCATGACCATGGTGACCAGTCTGACCACACAAACACGCTTCCCCGTAAACCTCATTATATCTCCAGCTCCCAGTCAGTCCGTACCTTTCTTTGGTTTTGGACCTTTTCCTCCTCCGTCCTACATTACTGGAGTCTTCTCTTCTTCTTTTTTTGTCCTTTTCCTCCAAGATGAAGATGGAAGGGCGCAGGAACCGTACAAGTGATACCAAACCAGTTTCCCGCGGAGTTCGCGCAGCCTTTAATGGGAGAGAGTTTCAAACTGTCATTTATTGCTAAAACTTTTTATCATGGACAAAAGCAATTTACTGAAAAATTTGTCATGGACAAAAGTCATTTTCTAAAACTTTGTCTTTGGAGGAAAAGGTACAAACTGATGACTGGGAGCTCGAGATATTATGCTGAGGTTCGCGTGGAAGCGTGTAACTCCTCTAAAATTGTTTGTACCAGCGAATAATAATTTGAACTTCGTTATCTGAAATGTTTTCGAGTCGTCAGCTTCATCTGTTCTAAAGTGAATTACTCGTATTTCAGTCAACTGTTTTTTTTTCGGTACACCATATGTTCCAGAGCATCTCGATGATTGGCATTTTTTTCAGCAGTGTTGGGCGAAGGAAAGTCTGTGTTCTCACATTTTGACCAGCAAATGATATGTGTGTAGTGAAATTTTTTTAAATGGAAGGCAAACGAGTATTCATGTGCAGTATTGATGTTGAGTTTGAAGTACAGTACACTCTCTTCGGAATATGAGATACAGTATTTACTTAATTTCCAATAACGATGAGACCCTAATACTCTAAAAAGGCGTATAACATTTTCGAATTCGTTGAAGTCAATCAAAATGTGGAAATTTTCTGTCTTATTGGCCTTCCTTCTGAGATTTGGAGAGATTTATGGTCAGCGCATGCCCGCAGAAAATAAGGTTAGTTTGCCTTTACAATCAAGTGAGCTTTGCTTTCATGAATTTTAGAGTAATAATTTGTGATTCAGGCCGAAACAGTGCGTCATTTGCTGGAATCTTACGAAAACATACCAGATGCCGTTTTTGACTTGAGTCAGTCCTCTGGAAAACCTTCTCGGTCGAGTCTGAAATTTCCAACACTTTATGACATTCATATCAGCAACAAAATGTATCAGGTAAGTGTAAGGTAAGCTTTTTCATGCTTTTCAGTGACATTCAACGGATTACATTTCGAAAGGTTTCCGAAACAGAAGTTTGTACGATCTTGATTAAAACGTGTCATCTGGACGAAAGAGAACCAACGGGGCCCGTCGTCAGATGCGTCACTTCAGTCGAATTCAAGGCGGAATTCCACGCGGAACATTTTGCATCG